GTACATATTAGGCATATGCGGCGAATCTTACAAAACACTTGGTGCTCAACTGGTTGACCATAAAGCAAAAGCAAAGCTTTCTCAGGAAAGAATAAGTTTCAAAGTATTTTTCTTTTCATATTTTTTTGTTGAAATTTCTAATGTATGTGTATGTGTGCCTCATAGAAGAAAGAGCATTTGGTTTGACTAAACAATTTTCTTTCAATTATATAAATATTTATACATATGTAAATATATGTATAGTATATACTACCAAAAAGCTTTGACTTTTTTTGTTTTACTGCGGGCGACCTCTCTAAGAATATCGGCTTGTGGAGCAATAAAGWGTATGTGTAAACTGATACGGTCTTTATTTCAATTACATTGACTCCCGTTGTCACAGTAAGTAAATATGATTGGTGTTATTTTCCTTTCCCTTAATATCAATTTCATTGCCTGTGCGCCAGGAAGAAGGCTTTCATTTTTTTGCTTGCTTTTGCTAAAGTATTTTTTGTTTAATATATTGTTGTTCTTTTATATCAGTTTTTATTCTTACTTTCTTCTGATGCTTGGGTGCTGCTTGACATTTTTTTTTTTACTTATAACTTCATTCACTTTGTGCTTTTTCAACCTTTTTTGCTTTCAGCGGTTTCTTTGAAGGATTACTTTGATTTTTCTTTGAGCAAATATAGAAAATATGTATATAAAAGTGGTTGTGTATATGCGACGATTTTACTTCACTCAACTTTTCAGTTTTTATGAAATTTTTTTTTTCCTTTTTTTACTCATTTTTCTACTTTCTTATCTTTGTTTATGTAAGTTGAACTATCACAGTGTCAACTTTTAGTTCACAACTCGTTTTGTTGAAGTCAACGAGAAATAGCTCCTTGATTGAGTTGATTTTTGTATTAAGTTCCGAAATTTGAAAACAAATAACTTAAATATTTTTTGGGGTCCATAATTGAGCTTAAAGTGTAATCTTTGTATTTGGTATAATAAGTTGATATAACAGATATACAAATTTATGTTCGACTCTGTATACTTTTTATTAGAAATCAACTTTAACTTTACTCGAACATTTTCTTCACTTTATAGCTTCCTTGGCCGGATAAAAAGTCGGGTTTGTTACAATTACTGAAACCCAGCTGTCATGGGAACGGCTGTATGTCTCTCTTAACTCTTGCTTCATTGAACCTTTTTGCTCGCAGAATAGCGTTGAAAATTAATTTTTATCAAAATTAGTAAATGTTTTTTTTTATTAAAATTAACGAATATATATTTTTTTTAAATTATGCTAAAATAGCAACAAGAAATATTTTGTAATTTTCACAAAAGTACAACAATAAGCAAACACTATCAGTTGCCTACCGAACATTTACATGGCTTTAACATTTGCTTAACAGTTGGGCTGTTACTTAGCACTCTTGCACACTGCTTGTTTAGAAGCAGCCTTTGAAGTACATACCATCAGCAGTAATAGATGTTAAGTACATTTCACCAACGCAGCTAACAGTAGTGAAGAGCGAAGCAGAAGATATGAAACATAAAGTGTCCAAACACCGAAAGAAAACTTCAATGGACCAAATCAGTACAAAGAAGGCAGTTGCTGCAAGAAATGCTCCTGCACCAACTCAGCAATAGCACGTCCACAAGAGAGCGTTTGAGAGAGCAAACCAAGAGAAATGCGCACTAATTATACTCATCAGAAGCAGAATACACAAAAACGAGCCACAAGCGATGCTGTAGATAACGGTGTTAAACCAACAGGAGCCACAGCGCAAGAAGCAGGACACTGCAAAGCAAGAACAGCAACAGCTGCGACCAACATTATCAACAGCAGGCCGCTTAAAAGAAGAGTCCATCAGCATCAGCAATTGTTAGCCGCGCTCAGTTGTTGTTGGACTGCAGAAGTGTCGTGTTGTGGTAACGTAAAACGCTGAAGGAACAATTTCGGGCAACAAAATAAACTTTTAAGCAAAATTATAAAAAAAAATGCTAAATTTGGTAGTTGTGTATGTGTGTGTTTAATTTTATAAAGAAGTCGCGTAGCAGTGAGCGCTGGCATTTAAAGAGCGAAAATATTGTGTGTGCGCCAGAGAGAGAGCAAAGAAAAAAAAACCAAATATTTGCCGAAGGAACGGAAACAAAAGCGAACATATGCAAGCAAGTGTTGCAAGTTTTTTTTTTTTTTTTGTTTTTGTCATACACTTTAGCTACAACGCATGACTAGTGTGTATACATATGTATGTGTGGTGAGATTTTGTGAAATTCGTATTTTTGCATAAGTGCGTTCAGCTTTTCGTAGCATAGCCTGCGTGGCAATTTTTTACAGTGACAGCAAACAAGTGAGTGACACGGCCTGTTGTGGAATTTCTTGAACACTTTTTTCACTTCACTTTTTTTTGTTGTTTTTCTGATTTTTTACTTTTTGATKTAATTGAACGGAAAATGTGTTGCATCTGAAGTGAATATTGGAGGTTGTTTGCGTGTGCTATGTGCATTTGCAGASATTTCCGTTATAAGGTCACGAACTTGAAACCCAGGGGAGTTCAAAAATATGTTTTTGCTATATTATTTCCATTTGCCTCTAAAACCTAACTAAAATGTTATTTAACAAATATATGTATGTATATAAATAGTAAAAAAATATATATCTAATTTAAGCCCATTTAAGTTTTTTTTTTTCGAAACGTGCCAAAAATATATTTTTTTAAATGAAAAAAATCAAATTTTATGTATTTTAGATATGTTAGAGTTATCGAAAATTTKCTGCAAAAAATTGTTTTCTCTAATTTTTTCATAAATGAACTCCAATTGTATTTTTAGATTACCGTGAGTTCAGGACTCACACACGAGACTTTTCGGGATCAATTCGGWATTTACTATTTTTTCATAAATAAACTCAGAAGGCATTACAATCAATTTTATGAATCTTGTATTTTTTGGATTTTAATTTTTTCACTAATATATTATATGTATGGKGGTGGATAAACCCTGATGACTCAAATCCGTGATTTCAAGATCCCAAACTTTCTCGAGTTCCATTGAAAGCATACAAGTATAAAAAAGTTAACATTTTGAGCTACTTTGMGAACTATGATATTTGTTTATCGCCAAAGTTTAGAGTAGTTTTTATATTTCCACCATATCTACTATGTTCGCGATTTTGGGTTTCGGGTATTACTAAAATACAAAACACAACCAAATAGCACTGCCAAATAAACAACCGTTAACTCTTGAGTAAGAATCCCCAATTGACGACACCAACACCAATGTTATCTTGAGTGCGTATGCTCAATTGAAAAACACTGAGCTGCACTTTCACTTGAAAACCAAACTTTTGAATTGTTTTGTTTTCATTAATCCCTACAGGCGTAAAGTTTTCGAGTCCATCGCCAGGAACGGCGCTTTACTTTTCAATAGAAAACGCTGCGATGCCTTTGTCTGGTTTGCTCTCATTTTCATTTCCTTCAAAGTATTTTGAGATTATCTCACGTTCCAAACACTTCAATTTTTGTTTTTGTTATCTGTCGCTTTGCTATTATTCGCTAATTTGCCGCCTGCTGCTGCCACATTTGGGTTGTCGTTTTTCCGGTGTCTAATTTTCGATTTCCGCCGCTGCCATTTCCARTACTTTTATTTACACAATAAACAAGAAAATTTCTTTGTTTACTTTGATTTTCCATTTATTTATCCATTTAGACTTGTTTTTCTCACWACTCTTTGTTTTTTTATTTGCTTACCTGCAATGCTGGTAACTCAGCAACCCACCAAACCGTTGGCGAGTGATGTCGGCTTGCTTCCCGCTTGCTCGGTGCTGACGCATCAACAACTTAATTTAGAAATCGGCAAAAGTTCAAAGTGTTGTGCGACAGTAAATTTCGATAGTTTTCCTTTCGTTCGTTTTTTGATAAGTACAGCTATTTTCCGCTGCTTAGCTGCGAGGCGTTGAAACTTCAAAGAGCTGAACTTTTCGTAATTTCTCAAATGGGCTTAAATGAGGTATGGTAGGTGGTGGAGGGGGGGTGAATTTGAATAATTTGGTTTTTTTTACATCGTCGAAATGTAATTAAAACAAAAATTTAAAATTATTTGAAAATAAAACAATTTTTTTTTTAATTATTTAATGTTTTTTAAATAAAAAATAGATCTAAATATACTAAAAATAATTTGAATAGTCTCAAAATTATTTGAGACCTTTGTGCATTCTGAAAGTCATTTGAAAATCGATCGTTTGAATTTTTAAGCATTTTTCGCTGTAATGAAAATTAGCATTGGCCACAATGCTACAAAAAAAAATTTTTTTAAATCATATATTATTAGAAAATAACAAACGTGAAAAAATGTTTACTTTACTAAATGTTTAGTATTATACAAAATAATTGCATAGGTTGTCCCTAGAAGACTAAATTATTGAAATAAAGCTATGTTGCTTTACAAAAATGTTTACATTTCAAAAAAGATGTGTATAAGAGACAGGCCATATTGAAAAGAAAAATTCTTATATCATTGTATATTTTAACCGCGCATTTCTAGTAATTATTATTAGCATACAAAAAAATTATTTTAAAAAATTAGGGTTACCATATTGAAAAAAAAATCATATATTATTATATACTTTAACCGCGTATTTTCAGTAAATATAAATAGCATACAAAAAAATATTTAAAGAATATTATTTTTAAAAAATTTGTGTTACCATATTGAAAATAATTTCCAGATTATTTCAGAGTAACAAATTTGTGATACAAAAGACTTACCATATATTTCTATAAGTATAAGCAAGCAGAAAATAACTCTAGTAAATAATAAATCGCCCAGCTTTTTTTCTATACATTTGTTTTTTTTTTGTCAATTTAATTTTCACTTTAATTTAGCGTTATTCAGCATCTGTTTTCCAGCAGTTAATACCACAATGGTTATTTAYAATTAGCATATTTGAGCAAACAAATAGTTTTTACATGTAAAACCAAATATTTTAAATCCCATACTAATTTCCATTCTTTCTTTTTCTCTTGCAGCCTTTAAACCAGCGCCAATAGTGTGGTAAGTTACAAAAACTCAGCAATTAAGCACGAATGCAACACAAAACGCATTTAAATCATCAAATTTGAATATACAAAAAAGTAATTATTTGAAAATGCATAATTTCCAACGCCACTTTTACATAATTGATGTGTTAAGTATATTTTWTCCACAAATATCACGCGCATAAATTAGTAATTAGTTGCGTGAGCACTGAAATGTTACGTATACGCCACGGCAGCCGCAAATTATTTGCTTACATTTGCACAACAAGCGATTAGTATAAATAGAATATTTCAGTTTATTCACTAAACTGACGCTAAATTAACRTTCTTAACTTAAACAATTACACAATAAATTATTTAAACAACAACATGGCTGWGTAAACAGCAAAGGAATTATGGAAGCAAAGAACTACTTACATATGTATGTGCTTTTTTTGGGTGAATGTAATTATTTAGTTGCTGTGCACCAACTAATTTATACATATGTAAATGTGTGTATGTGTTGAGCGACATTTCGTTGCATATAAACAAATATGTGCAAGTGTAGGTTTCTATATTTGCTGTTGTTTGGTTGCTATCGAATTTGAAACCGCTGTTCGGAACTGGCAAATGAGAAACTGTTAATTATGCCCGCGCATGCCTTGCCAAATATCGATGTTAATGAACTTAATAATTCATGCTGTGACAATGGCAAAATGACATACCCCCATACAATTGCATGCGATTTAGTCGAAATCGTGAGATCGACAGAATATACATACATACACAGCATATGTTTGGCCACCGTATGTTGGAAATTTTGCCATTTTCTTCAGCTTTCATATAAATGATTAAAATATTAACTTTTCGATTCTTCAAGTTTGATTTTCATATACAAAAGGTTGCAAGTTGGAAATTATCCCTTTCTCCTAACAAATTGATCGCTCGAAATCAAGCTCTTGCATGGAAAACTTTCTTATTTGAGCATGCGYGCTCACGAAATTTAGCATAGACTATTGCCCAAGGCAATGCTTCAATCTGCAAACAAATGGCTTAGATCGAATCACTATAGCTTATAGCTGTCATACAAACTTATCGATCAAAATCATGTCCTTTTATGGAAAACTTTCTTATTTGGCGATATATTTTCACGAAATTTGGCACAGATTATTTCCTAAGACAATTCTACAATCTCTAAAGGAATTGTTCARATCGGACCACTGCCATACAAAGTGATCAATCAAAATCATGGCTTGTATGAAAAATTTTTTTATTTAACAAGATATCGTCACATATTTTGGCATAGTTTATAACCCATGCCAATATAATGTTCCGAAGAAAATTTTCATATCRGATCAATACAGTACAAAACTCTCATGCAAACTGCCCGATCAAATTAAAGATAAAAATTTTTTTAAACCCTTTTATGTTATAAGAAATGAATCTTTGAATATCCAAAAGTAAAATTTTTATTGTTTTTCTCTAAAATTATTTACATTCTTTCTCTTTCTTTCTGACTTTCTGTTTTTGAGATTTATTTACATATATGTTATTGTATATATATTTAATTAACATCACATAAGGATAAATATATTGTATATGTGTGTACCTACCTATTATATAACTGCATAACTGCTAGTATTTGTACTTCGCCTGCAGCCACTTGCTTACACATTATGCKCTTGGGTGGCAAATTTTATTAGGCCAATTAAAAATTTAGTAGCAACAAATCAGCGCCCACAGTGATGGGCATATAATAACACCAAAAACAACAAGTAGCAATAGTGATAGGGATAGGCATATAATAACAATAAAAACAACCACAACAAGTTGCAATATAATTTCAAGCGCATTTGCAACAACTCACCACAAGGATATGACACCCATATATAACAGCAATTTCAAGCTRGCAAACTAATTTAAGTCAATACATCATGAATAAGCATGGCTGCACATGTGTGTGTCTGAAAATTGTTATAATTAGTTTGCAAAATTAACTACTGGTCAGCAATATGGTGCTGGCGGTTTTTGCTACTCGTAATTACATGGATCCAAATATTTMTCTGTGTACATGGAGAAATCGTCACTCAAATTCGAAGCAGGGAAAAATTCCGAAAATTATTGGAAAAATTGCTAAAAAGTATTTTCTTCCTGCTTTACACTTCTCTTTTTGAAGCGTCAGTTTGAAGTACACATTTCTGTTTTTTTTTTTTTATTTCATATTTTTCAAAGATGCATTTATTTCTACAAAATATTCGCATTACTTCAATGGTTACCTACAAAATGTGTAATGAACTTCTTGGTATAATTTCTATTTTTTGTTAACTCTTTTGGTAGACAAACAATATTATGATTATTTTTTCAAAATAAAGTCTTTAATAACTCTTTGCTGCCGCATTAATGGACACCTATCACAYGCCTCCTGATAATTATACATAATGAGAAGTGTTTCGCTCGCAAATTCTGTTTCCTTAAATTACTTGTACTTGAGCCAACTGTCAAACCAGCATACATATSAAATTATGCGATCATGTTACTTGCTTTTACTTTACCTTACATCCCCCTCCACCYAAATTATGCCCATACAGCTGACTCATTGCACTTTTTCACAGCTTAAACATTTCATTTCCTCTCAAAGTGCACATGTTTTATATCTCTTACGCCCCAGTTGCCACTTTACACGTATTATTTCATGTTTATTTATTTATTTTATTTTATTTTTCAAAAAAATAACTGTTTATTCATCATCAATTTCTTTATATTTCATTAAATGACATTAACGCGTCCGCTTCTCTGTTCATTAGCTTCGAATAGCTGAGCCTGAGCTGTTGAATAGTCAGCGCCTTGATTTCACTATCAACTAAATAAGCTGAAGCACGTTCATCAACTCCCTGCCTTTTGCCAATTCGCCTTGACACATTTAAAGCAGTCAACTGCTGTTATGGCACTTACTGCAGTGCGCTTATGAATGGAGGCATATTAAGCGTGAAAAACTGGGCTTAGCTACAAATTGAAAAAAAAAAGAATAAATATTGCAATTGCAATTGAAAAAATAAGTAAAGTTTCATGCTTATATGGAATACCTACATATATTTATTATATATAAGGTATATCTTAGGTGTGGTATTTTAGTGCCTGTTATTTGCTAGATTCTCATTTTTTATTCAAATGTCCCCATTACTTGTATAATATTGAAATAAAATTACAAAAAATTTAATTTTTCTATATATTTAGCACTCAACTATAATAACAACATTGTTTGTGAACTTATAAATAAATAATAAGATAAAATTTCACTGTTGCTTCAATTTTCATGCTGTCAGCGTTAATTCGCCCAAACATAACATACATCTAAAAAATCTCATTCTCACACACACAATCACCCCAAAACAGACCTCTTCACAATTGTAGCAGCTTAAAGTATTAACTTAACGCACAGGCCGAAYCACATATCAATTTGCTACAGGTTTCGTTTTCAAACTGTCGCAAACGGTGAACTTTTACGTTCCCCTTGCTTAAATAACAAGGAAATTGCGTGCAAGCAAACGGAGGAAAAGAGACGATGTATTTGTATATAGAAATCATTATAAAAACCGAAAAAGGCGGTAAAATAACAATGTAACTCAAATTTCATTAACGTAAAAAATTTACTGAATGCCAGAGATTAAGAATATGGCATTAATATTGCAAAAGCAACAAGTTTATTGTATTAAATGTATTTCGTGGTATTTCGGCATTACTGTATTAAACTCAAGAGCCAATGTGTTACAACCCGTGAATTTCACACACGAAGCACGAAGCAAATTCGCGAGATCGTTTTATGCGTATAAATGAATGTTACGTATACGCCATTGCCTACCTATTGCATTTGCATTTGTTATTACATTTATACTTCTTACACGCTTGTTGCTTGCTATGCAAACAATTTTTTTGTTTTATTGCTATGAAGGCATTGATTGTGTGTTTAATTCACAGTTGTTCAAGAAGTAAAAAAACATAATATCAACGTATGTACATATGTATATCAAAAATCAAATTTTTTTAATTAAAATGATGTTAATTTTAAATATTTAAAATTTTTGGTGTTATGCAATGCAATTGTAGAGTTATTCAAAATAGCACAAAAAATAAAAAAATACTAGAATTTCCGGAATTAACTTTTGCTTCGGGTCTTTAATTTATTATTATTTTTTAACATTCATACAAAAGTCCAGTTTTAGAAATATAAATAATCACTTTCTAATGTTTTTTAAAATGTGAAATTGTAATGTGACAAGGAGACTTCGCGGAAAACTAGCAGCCAGCTGACTCTACATAAGTGAAGCAGACACCGTGGCTGTTCAGTGCTTAGGCGACTCTCGCGCCGCGATATGATGTGACAAGGAGACTTCGCTAGCAGCCATCTGACTCTATATAAGTGAAGCAGACAGCGTGCCTGCTCAGTGGTGTGGCGGCTGTCGC